TATAAAGTGTGAAAGAATTGGGACATGGTTACTGCAACATTCTGTGCATAAGAATCTTGAGTAAGACAAATATCATCTTATTCTTCCTTTCCCACTATTCTGCTTCATTTATTTCTCAAATTGCAGTAAGGCAAATAAGTATATTTTTCTTTTTATTTATTTGTATTATATAGTGTATTTGTTTATCATATTATTATTTTATAGAATGTATTATATTTTTATTATATTAGTATATTTTTATACTACACAATGTTTATATTCCTTGTGGAGAATTTCTTCAAAGGAATTAAGATGTGGATGTACAGGTATCGATTCTCTCCCAACCTGCTCCCTCGCTCTTGGTTTTGCTTATATGAGAAACCCAGAGTATAAATTAAGAACAAAATAAAAGATAATAGCAGATGGGGAGATATGTCTTTCTCAAGGGAGAAAGGGATCAAGAGGTGGAGGGCAAAGAAGGGGAGAGAAAAGGGGATTAAAAAAGGAATTAAGATGCATTATGTACATGTACCAACTCCACACAAAGAATGTAAACATTTTACAGGGAAGGGAGGAAGGGGTGAAAGGAGGGCAGGGACAGGGGGAAAAAACGAGAACCAAGACCTGTCATGTAAAGGTACAAGACCCCAATGATGAATGTAACTGTGCTGTATACCTAAAATGTACCAATAAACTCAATGAGAGAAAAAAGAAAAAAAAAGAATGTAAACATTATGTATCATAAATATGTATGAAAAATGAAGGGGATTAAGAAATCAGTATCTTTTGGGCCGGGGATTTAGCTCAGTGGTGCCACTGCCTGCTTTGCGAGAGCAAGGTCCAGAGTTCGATCCCCGGTACCCCCCCAAAAAAAGAAATCATTATCTTTTATAATCATAATTCTAAGTCCTTAGAGTTTGACTCATAGGATTCATTTAGTGTTAAGTTTTAGGTGGGAATATATGTTAATTTTACTATAATAATGAGGGTGCATCACCTCTCCAGTGTGAAGCAGGACTGGCTTTGGTTTATGGCAGTCTTTGATTTCTTGAGATGGTCTGCCCAGGAGCTGATTCCGAAAGTATTCCCAAAATGGATCTGTTTCTGTTGTCCCTATTAGAAATATTATGATTAATACGATTTTTTTAAATAACCCACTGAAAAAATCATTACTTAGACAGATATAGAAAAATTATTTAGAAGTTTTAGAAATTTAATTAAGATTGCTGTTCAATAATCTCAAACAGTGTGAATAATAAAAGGGGAATTTATTGTGCATCAAAAAATAATAAACATAATTTAAATAGATCATCAGTGTGGACAAAATAACAACCAAATAAAGATGAATCTATTTTCCTACAAATGACTCAAATTTATCCTTCTTTATAACTGAGTAGTTACTTTATTGTATATACATATGATATTTTCAGGGGCTGGGGATTTAGCTCAGTGGTTCCACTGCCTGCCTTGCAAGCACAAGGACCCGAGTTCAATCCCCGGTACCAAAAAAACAAAAACAAAAACAGAAAAACATATGATATTTTCTTTATCCATTCATTTGTTAATGGGTATCCAAGCTGCTTCCAAGATTTAGGTATTGTGAGATGTACTATAATAAACATGAGAATGAATGGATCATTGTAATATGATTTCCTTAAATCTTTTGTGAGATTCAAAAAAATAGGTATAGCAAGGTAAAACAGAATTTTTATTTTGCTTTTTTGAGGAATCTCTATACTGATTTCCATAGTTTTTGTACAGTTTGCATCCCAAAAACAGTGTAGAAGGATTACTTTTTCCCCATAACCTCACCAGCATTTGTTGTTTTCGAGTTCTTAATGATAGCTATTCTTTCTGGACAAAGATAGAATATCAATATTGTTTTAGTTTGCACATCCCTAATTGCCAAAAATACTGAATGTGTTTGCATGTAGCCATTGGTCATTTGTATTTCTTCTTTAAGAAGTTTCTATTCACTTCATTTACCAAGTTTTTTTATCAGGTCTTTTATTTTTGGGGGTGTCAAATATTTCTGAGTTCTTTATATGCTCTAGATATCAGTCTGCTGTCTGAGGAGTGGCTGGCAAAATTTTTTCCCATTTTGTAGATTGTCTCTTCACTCTGTTGATTGTTTCCCTTCTGTGTAGAAGCTTTTAAATTTGATATAATCCCATGTTGATTCTTGGTGCTATTTCTTGTGCAACAGATGTTTTCTTCACAAAGTCCTTACTTATGCTTATCCTTTTAAGAGTAGTACCTGTTTTATCTTCTAGCAGATTTGGTGTTTGTTTTTACTGATTAATAGTTCGTTGATCTGTTTTTATTTGATTTGATTACAGAGCAAGAGATGTGGAGCTAGATTTAATCTTCTGCATTGGTACAACCAGTTTTCCCAGTGTTGTTTGTTCAGGAGACTATCCTTTCTCAGTGTATGTTTTTGGCCCCTTTATAGACGATGAGATAGCTAAATGTGCCTGACAACGTTTCTGCATCTTCAGTTTGGTTCCATTGATCAACATGCCTGTTTTTGTTCCACTATCATGCTGTTTTTAATCACTTAACTTTGTAATAAAATTTGAAATCCAGGATCATGATGCCTCCTGCTTTGCTCTTATTGTTCAGAATTGCTTTTGCTATTCCAGGTCACTTCTGCTTTCAAATAAATTTGAGGAATTTTTTTTTCATTCCAAGAGTGCTGTTGATGCTTTGATAAGGATTGCATTAAAGCCTATATAACATTTTTGGTAATACGGCCATTTTTACCGTACTGGTTCTGCCTATCCAAAACAGGGGGATATTTTAGGGCCAGGGATTTAGCTCAGTGGTTCCACCACCTGCATCGCAAAAAAAAGGGGCTATCTTTTCATTTTCAGTGTCCTCCGCAATCTCTTTTTTTCAAAGTACATATTGTAGTTTTCATTATAGACTTTTTTCACTTCCATGTTAGGATGATTCCTAAGTATTTAATCTTTTTAAGCTATTGTGAATGGAATTGTTTTCCTGCTTTCTTCTGTGTTCATTGTTGGCATACAGGAATGCTATTAATTTTTGTGTGTTGACCCTGCATCTAGCTACATTGCAGAATTTATTAGTTCTAAGAATCTTACATTTTTCGGAGAGTTCTATGTAAAAGATCATGTCATGTGCAAATAATTACAGTTTAGCTTTTCCTTTCCTATATGTCACTTTTCTTTCTTTCTCTTGCCTGATTGCTGTGGCTAAAGTTTCAATTACTCTATTGAACAGGAGTGGTGATAGTAGACAACTTTGCTTGTTCCTGGCTTTAGAGGAAGCATTCAGTTTTTCTCCACTTAATATGATGTGGCAGTAGGTTTGTCATAAGCACTTTCTATCAGATAGAATTCAGGTCCTTCCATACCTATCTTCCTTAAGGTGTTTTCTGTTACTAGATGTTGGGTTGTTTTCCAAAGGCTTTTTCTGTTTCTATTGAGATGATCATGTGGTTTTTTTCCTTGCTTCTGTCTTTGTAATGTAATACATTTATTGATTTCTGTCTGTTGAAGTTTACATCCCTGGAATGCTGTCCGATGTATGATCCTTTTAATGGTTTGTTGCATTTCATGTATCAGTATTTTGTTGACAACTTTTGCATCTGTATTCATTAAAGAGATTGGCCTATAGTTTTCTTTTTGTGTTGAATCCTTATCTAGATCAAGGTAAGGCTAGTTTCCATGAAGGAGTTTGATAGTACTCTTTTTCTTTCAAATTCATTAAAGACATTGAGGGGTGCTAGTTATAGGTCTTCTGTGAAGTTCTTGTAGAACTTGCAAGTGAATATATTGGTTCCTGGGCAACTCTTAGTTGGTCAGTTTTTTATTACTGTCTCAATTACATTGCCTATTCTTTGACTGTTTGGGATTTTTATATATTCTTGATTCAGTTTTGGTAATTCATATGTTTCTGGTAATCTACCCATTGCTTCTTGATTCTTCAAATATTGAGGTGAGTTTTTTAAAATAGTTACTAATAACTTTTTGGATTTCAATAGAGTCTATTATGATTTCACCTTTTTCATTTTTAATTGAATTGATACAGATTTTTTTGTTCCTTCTTTTGGTAAGTTTGGCTAAGAGTTTGTCTGTTTTGTTTATTCTTTCAAAGAACCAGTTGTTCAATTCATTGATTCTTTGTATTTTTAGGCTCAATTTTATTAATTTTTACTCTGATATTTGTAATTTCCTTCCTTGCACTAGGTTTGGATTTGAATTATTGTTTTTCGAGGATCTTGAAATGCATAATCATGTTATTTATTTGGGCTGGCTGTGTTCTTTTGATATGGGTATTTAGAGCTATAAATTTTCCTCTTAGGACTGCTTTCATTATATTCAACAGGTTCTGGTACGTTGTACTGGCATGTTGAACTGACATTACCACTTGATTCTAGGAATCATTTAATCATTTAGTTTCTTCCTTGATTTCTTCTATGATCCACTGATTATTCAAGAGTGTATGGTTTAATCTTCATGTAATTGCATAATTTCTGTGGTTTCTTTGTTTATTGATTTCTAGTTTCAATGAACTATTATCTGATAATACACACAGTATAAGTTTGATTCTTTAGTATTTGATCATGCTTTCTGGTCTATTTTGGAGAAAGTTATGTGTGCTGCTGAGAAGAATGTGTATCTTGTTGTTGGATGGAACATTCTGTAGATACCTGTTAAGCCTATTTGTTCAAAGGTGTGGTTCAACTTTGATATCTCTTCATTGATTTTGGTCTGGTTGATTAGTCTATTTGTGATAGTGGGATATTGAGGTGCCCCACTATTACTGTGTTGATATATATCTGATCTTTTATGTCCAGTAGTATTTGTTTTATGGTATTGAGTTTGCCAGAATTTCATGAATAGACATTTAGAATTGTCATCTCTTCCTATTGAGTTGTTTCCTTATTTAATACATAGTGACCTCTTTGTGTCTTCTGATCCTTTTTTACTTGAAGTTCATTTTGTCTTAAAATTAGGATTACTACTCCTCTTTTCTTCCAGGCCCCCACTGCATGAAATATTGATTTGCATCTTTTCATTTTAACCTATGAATTTCATTTTGGATTAAATATGTCTCTTGGATGAAGCATACCATTAAGTTTTGTATACATCACCAGGCCCAGCAAAATAGAAGATTTTTCAATGTTGTGATTACAAAGAAAAATGTTTGATGGATAACCTAATTATCTTAAATTATCATTACATAATATGTAAATGTACTGAAACATCACAATGTACCCCATAAAGATGTATAATTATCTTTGAATTTAAAAAATAATTTTGAATTAAAATAATAGAACAAAGAATCAATACATTGAAATGCAAAGCAAATTTAGCTCCATTTTTTAATGGAAAGCTAAGTTACAAAAGACACTTACCCCTGGGAAATCTGAGCTGTCCTATACAAACCTGGAAACCCTGCAGACTGCTAAGTTTAGAAATAAACATAATTCATGTGCTGGCTTTGTTTTAACTTTCCTAGGGAAGACAGCCCTGAAGCCTCAGAACCGAAGCAGTGATTTCATTTGCCTTCACCTCACCCTGTGTAATGTTGAGGCCCGAAACTCCATCGATGGTGCCAGCCGCAAAGCTGTAGCCCAATGCTGGCTTACATGTTTTTACCTAAAGGAGAGATTTTAAAAACAAAGAAAAACATGTAAGCTACAGGGCAGTTAATAAGAACAGGCCCAGCCCTTTGCCCTCTGGCTGTTCAGTGTGATTCAGCAATACTTACTGTGTGTGTAGAATTGAGCCACACAGTCACATCCGTCATATTCACCCACTGGTGAGCTGAAGCCACCTGTCCAGTCACCTTCTGGGAGGCAGAGGTATACAGTTCCTAGAAAATCCACACAGGCATACTATCCTGAGCAAAACGACTGAAGGAATACGCCAATAGTGCCCCAAAGGCACCAGTGTGGAAAAGATTTCTCAGCAACAAGATACTTCTGTTTCTCCAAGCTGCCTAGAAATAGCCCCGATCCATGTGGTTCTCTCGAGTAAACTCAGTGGCATCCTAGAGGCTTGATGGCTTCACCACTGTGACCAGTGTCCACGCCCCACAGACATGAAATTCTAGTGAGACGGGCTGTGACACAAAAGGCCCGGACCTCACTTGAAAGATGGTCCAGAATATGTAAGATGAGGAGGGGTGGGCCAAACTACATTATTTTCCAGAATGCAAGTGCATCCTCAGGCAGCATATATGTGGAGTTTCCCCTGGCAGCTCCTGAGTCTTCCAACAGGACAGAGCAAGTGCCATGCAGTGGCTTGAAAGACTTCAGGCCCCATTTAAGTTACATCAGCTGCTCTTCTTTTAACCCTCCCTTTGATGGTTTTGTTTTTGCTTTATAATATAGCCAGTTGATTTTTTTCAATCTTATGGGAAAATAAGTCAAAACATACTTGGAATATCTGCGTTTACTGATCCTGACAACCAGTTCCTTTCCACTCTGTCCTCACCCCTGTTTCTGCAACCACACATGAGCTCTGAAGATGAGTCTTCAGGAGCACCAGCTAGCTGCAGCCTGCCTGCAAGAGGGAAGCTGCACCTTGCTGAGAAGAGACTCCAGAATGTGGGGCACATCTCTATGGGTCCCACACCTAGGGTGCTAAGAAGATTTCCAACACCGAAGGTGTCACAGCCACATACCCTAAATAGAATCTGTTAATTGAGAATAACGCACTGACAATACCACAGTAATTAAAAAGCAACTGCAGTGATTAGGCTGGCTGCTGCCACCAATTTTGTGTCTGATGTTGTTAAAGGCACTTTTTTCTTCTCTAATTGCTTCTGAAGCATTTCAGAATGTTAAGAATAAATTATTTACTTACACCACACATGTAAGCAGATAGAGAGACACACAGAGAGAGAGGGAGAGGGAGAGAGGTGAAAAAATTTAACTCTCTTTTTTCAGGGTCATATCAGCCAGAGCTCCTCCTTTCTTTATCTTCCCCTTGGAAATCTGTCTCTACAGAAGCTGATAAAAAGCCTAGGAGCAAAACAAATGACAAAATCTAGGAGAGGAAGGAGGAAGAATCGATCCTGGTAAGGTCACTGCAGCCCAAATTCTTCATTACAAAGTTGTTTTTCGGTTTTAGTTCTTTATCTTTGTAAGTAAAGATGGCTGATATTTGCCCATAGAGAAAGAGTAGAAACTAACTGGGGTTGCAGTTGCAAGACCTGCCCCTCAAGTTTTATGGTCAGGTGACTTTGGGCAGGCAAAAATTTAACAGAGTTCCAAGAATCTGTGCCGGTCTGATCATTCATGATGCCACCTAAATTGAAAAACTTACAATCTGTCTTCCATCCGAGGCAAGTAGTCTGGCTTTCTAAATATTCTAAGTCTACGGCCATACCGCCCTGAACAAGCCCGATCTTGTTTAAACATTCTAAAAAAAACAATGTTTTCCTGTTACTTGGTTTTAAATGCACTTCCTGTAAGAAGTCAGACACAGTGAGTGTGTCTCCTAAAGGCAGCCTTCCGGAACATCTCCCAGAAGTCCCAGCAGCCTGGACTCCTGCTGTCTTTGCAGTTATTGACTTCCTAATGAATAATGCTAGAGCAACTTTAAATGACAATTAAATGAGTGAGCCCATGTCTTACCTTTGCTTTCTGGTATATGGCCAGTCCTATAATCTGTGTGCTGTCAAGCATATCTTGTCCAGGTCCCTTAGCAATGCACATGCTAGGCTGAAACCAAAAGAGATGAGATGCATTCTCAGTGAAATGATAATTATTTTTTAAGTAATGAGAAATTACAACGGGATCTAAGCAAATGAATTTTTAGGCTATATTCTAGCATTTCTTTTTAGATATTCTCTCAATTTACAGACTGGTATAAATAAGTCAGACTGAAGCAGTGATGCTTTTAGAAAGCACTTCAATAATTTACTTTTAAAATTAGCCAGTTGCGACCAGGTGAGCTAAAAGAGTTGCTGAAGATCATACAAGTAGCTAATAGCTGAGCTAACACTGGAAACCAAGGCTTTCCATTTGTTGTACACCTTTCTACTGCTTATTCTTGCCTGAGTCTTGCTCATGATCTTCTTGAATCGAAATGGTTAAAATCATACTGGGACAACCATCAGGCCTTCTAGGAAAAAAAAACAATGAATAAGTATGGTTCTATACCCTATCTATTACATCAGAAAAAATTGAAATTGATCAAATACTTAAATATTACAATTGGAATCAAAAATACTAATAGAAAACATAGGTGAATATATTTTATTGCCTGTGTGTGTGGAAGATCCTTCAAATATAGTAAAAGAATAGGCTTAGCAGATTTGATAGCTTAAACATTTTAAATGTCCATGTGGAGAAGGAGCATGATATTAAATAAGAAAAGATTACTCTTTATATATCCAAAGGAGATATTATTACACTAGACTTAAACCCCATGTTTATTGTAGCACTATTTATAATATTTAAGATATGAAATCAACCAAAATATCCATCAGTGAATAGACTGACAAGGAAAATGTGGTACATATAAAAATGGAATATTATTTGGCCATAAAAAGAGATCTTGTCGTTTGTAACAACATGGATGGAAATGAAGGTCATTATGTTAAATGGAAGACAAATAGCACATGTTCTCATTCTCATAGAAACTAAAAAGCCTATCACTGAAGAAAAGAGTAAAATAGAGGCCATTAGAGCCTGGAAAGGGGAGAGAGAAGACAAAACAGAAAGAACTTGGATAAGGAACACCAAAATATAGCTAGATAGGAAGAATTCTGTTTCTAGTTCTGGCTTTTTAAAGCACAGTATGGTAACTATTGGTTACAAAAAAACTAGGATATATTTCAAAATTTCCAATAAAAATGATTAACATTTGAGGTGAAAGTGCTCAATACTCTGATGTAATCATTATACATTGTATACATGTGAGTGCAATCAATAGTGATGTAAAAAAGATCAATCGTTAAAGATGTAAAAATATTGAGTCTCACTTTTTAAAAAGAAAAAGAAAGTATGACCCTTATTAATACCTTCTAATTCATCCATATATTTTTCTTACTGAATTTACTTATTTTATTTTTCATTTGTTGATTTTTATTACCACATGTCTGATTCATCCACAGAGTTGTTTCTCTTATTTGAAAGAAAATGTAGCCTAGTGGACACATCATGAAATACAGATGAAATAGCTAAGTCTAACACACACACACACACACACACACACACACACACACACACAAGAAAAGTAACTGGCCACTCAACAATAAATATATTCCATTGCATGGATAATGAAATGAGAATTTAACCTACAAACAGATAACTCTTTGTATACCATGTTGGCAAATATTACAAGATTAATAAACAGGTTTGGGGGCTTGGGGAGCAGTCACTCATACACAGTAGTTGGAAAGTCACTGAGGGAGCAGTCAGGAGACACAAGGCATGTGTTAGGTATGCTTTGACAGCAAACTCACGTTTAAGAATTTATCCCATGGTAAGATTCGAAAACTTGTGTAAATATATGTGACAAGGACAGTGATCACAGCACATATCCTTTGTACATAGGAAAGAAAGAAAGGGAACATTCCAGAAGGAAGAAAGGGAGAGAGGGAGAGAGAGGGGGCAAGGAAAGGAAGCAAGATGGAAGGGAGGGAGAAAAAGGAATCACTCATTAGTGGAGAATGTGCTAATTAAATTATGGTACTTAAAACTGAAAATTATAAAGTTGAGTTTTAGGGCATATTGACTGAAAATGAAGAAACTAATTTTTTTTTTGGTACCGGGGATTGAACTCGGGTCCTTGCGCTTGCAAGGCAGGCCACTGAACCGCTGAGCTAAATCCCCGGCCCAAGAAACTAATTATTGAACAGAGTTACACTATGATCCTGTGCATGCAAAACTGTACGTGTACATGAAATGGAGTGAATAAGAGGCTATCTAGAAGATAGTTCACAGACATGAAGAAAGCCAACCTTCCACGTGCACAGAAACAGAATACAGGGCCAGGGTGGGGGGGATGGATTTTCTTATACTTTTTTCCGATTATAAAAGTAAATTATGCTAATTATAGAAAAATATACAAAAATGCAAATAGGAGAATAAAATTTACTTTTAATAGTGTCAAAAAGGTAAATCATTGCTAATAATTAAAAATGTCTCACTTTATCTTTTTACTCAAACACAAATGTTTTTGAAAAAATTGCAGTTATAATGAACATATAATAGTAAATCATGACTTTCTTATTCAACATTATACATTAAGAACTTTTGCCCGCATTGTTCAATATTTCAGTGTAGGACTCTAAATTGATGCATAATATCCTATTGCAAGCGTGATTTACTTAGCTATTTTACCGCAAATATCAGAATTTAACAAGTGATCTTAAAACTTATTGCAAATTAATAATATGTGAAAAATATTACAAGTGAAGATTCACAAAGGAAGTTTCTATATAAAAACATTAATACATAACACAATTGTTAAAAGTACATTGCTCCTTACTGGGTTGACTATAATAAAATAAATAGCTCAGAAATAATGTATTAGAAAAGTAAAGTCACAAATAAAATGTCCTAGAAACACAAGAATAATAACCCAAAGAATAGCACCTGCAGTTCATGTCAAAGTTGAAAACAAATTTAAATGAAATTTGGTGAAAAGTAGTTGAATAAATGTTGTTATAGCCTTACTTGCCATCTTTCAAAATTGTCAGACAGATCTGGAGATGTATATATAAAGATGTCTAAGGCAAATTTCACAGACCAATGAAAAAATTTCTTTAAAAAGTCATAAAATTTTGTTCATGCATATATAGGTAAATGCATAGGAAGTGATGAGAGAACACTAACTTCTAAAGAAGTAGAAGGGTAGAAGAGAGGACAAATAGGAACTTTCAATTTTTACTGCCCTAGTTGCCCATGTCCTTTGAATTTTTACCGCAAGGTATTGTGTAATTTTAAAAGAAAAAGAAAACTTGGTTTATATTTTCAAACACTGTAGATTTCTAATAGGTGAGAAATGTCTCGAGCAGCCAGTTTTGCGGGTAAACCTGCAACTCCAAGTATGCCAAAACAAAATTTTTTAGACTGACCAGGAAAAATACTTAGTCTCTACATTTAACTTAAAATTTAATCAAGTGGAAAACTATAATTTTACCTACTCAAAATTTAGTGAGTTTGCCCAGGTACCTTACAGCACCAGCAAGTATTAGAGATACATAGACCATTGTATGTCAAGGACAAATACTTGCAAAATCAATGATAAATATTCAGAAATGAAGATTCCTTATGATCGTATTACCTACCCCACCAATGGGACAAGTGCTATTGGCATTGTCACAAGACTCTCCTGTGTCGATGCAATGTGGGCCGAGAATGTTGGGGGACACGTCTCCTAGGATAGATGATGCAAAGGCTGCTACAAACGGGCCCTGCCAAAAGAAATGCCCCATTGCCTTTTATTCTTTCTCCACTTAAAATGCAAACATTCTATTCATCTTACTAAAATACTCAAAATTATTTGCAGACAACAGAAAGGGAATGTAAAATACACTGCAACGTATTTTTTTATTTCTGAAATGGCTCACACTGTGCTTAATATACATCTCATTACTGAAAATATTCTAATTATCAACAAAGCCATTTCAGGGAGAGTGAGTTTCAAATGTATACCTCAAAAAGAAACATTCTGACAAAAAACACAGTGTACAAAATAACAAATTATAAAATGCTGGCCTATCAATCTAGTCTCTGGTGTTTTCTCTGGAACTCAGAGATTCATTTACCCTTTAAAAATAAATGTCCTGTGGCTTAAAAAGAAAAGAGTGATTGCAAGCTTTCCTGTTGCAAATTGAAACCCAAACATACCATCCACCATCTGGACCTGCCCCCTGTGGATCTTGTTTCTGTCTCTTCAGCCTGCTCAGTGCCATGCAAGATGTCAGCCTTCAACCAAATGGCCTACCATTCTACCTAAAATGTCTAAATTTCTCTTAGGAAAAGAGACAACTACACATTACAGATCATGTGTCTCTTTTGATACTAAAAAGACAATCTCAAAGTGCCTAGCACCCAGGCAGTGAATATAAATGAGAACCCCTTTTCTTTTCCCTAAAATACAGACTACAAATATAAAACAGAGTTTTCTCAACAAAGGAGATAGACTGAACGTTACTGGGGCTATTATCTTTGTAACACATACTCATTCTAGGTGCCCAGAGTGCTCATTCCATTCTGTTCTTTCGCAGTCAGTGGTCACATACAGTGGAGAGCAGGATAGCATCCATCTTTCCACTAATTTATCTACAGATAAAGACTACTTTTCTAAGAGTTGGAAAAGTTCCTGCAAGTGTATGGACTGGATTCCCATTCCCTAACGTGTCTGATCACTCTTTTTCAAATTTACAAAATAAGTCTGATGGATTAAGGTTGTCTCTGCCTTAGGCTTTGTTGTGATTAGATCTTAAATGCCACTCTCCTGGCAGTTCCTGTGTTAAAGGCTAGGTGCCCAGCTGCAGGCACTATCAGGAAGTAGTTTATTATATTTTCAGCTTGACCAAAAACTATTATATACAAAAATCTCAAATTTTCTCTTTCTTATGCAGCAGATTGCAACTTTATGAAACCATAAATAGTATCTGCCACAAAGAGCTAATGGTTTATTAATAATTTTTAAAATTACTATTAGGGAAAATGGCAAATTCTTTCTATCCAAGCATATATGTGATCCATAACAACACTTTGTTCTAGTAATCTGAATCAAGTATTCTAAACATTGCATGAATAGTGGCACTCAAGGAATCAACAATAAAACTCAATGATATTGTTTCTCACCTGGCCGGGTAGATATCCTCTGTTCTTCTCCTGCTCAAAAAGGTAAGATGCATAGCCCATATTATCACTATTTACAAGGTGGTTGGTGTTATTCATGCTGACTGGGTGGATGCCAAACCAGCTGTAAGAGAGCAAGAAGCCCTAAGTTAATCAAGAAAAGTAGGGCCAAAAAATGAATAGTAGGAGCTTGAGATTTCTCCAGGAAAAAGTACTTTAAATGGTAAGCATTGTAAATTTATGTTGTCTCACTGTTAATGAGCTTAAATCATAGATAATGTCCTCAAGAAATATGCACATTTACTTAAAAGTATAAAACTCCTTTTTCATGAATATTTCATTGTTGTCATCCCAGCGTAGGCTTCTAGTCAGTGCCCAGACTGGTCAGTTACCAGAGAATACGCCTTAATAACTTTGATGTTGACTCTGTCCTTCAAAACAGGCACAAAAGTAATAATTGTTCAAATCAATCCATTCCAATTCAGTACACAGTTTACTACGGGTCAGCTACATGCCAAACACAGATAAATGATGGCTTGCTCTTAGAATCTCCCAGAAGATAGAGATGTGAACAAATAGCCTTAAAACAGTGTGAAAATGGTATAAAGAGGGGGTGAAGGGAGGGCAGGGGTAAGGGGAAAAAATGAGAATCAAGACTTGTCATGTAGAGGTACAAGATCCCAACAATATGTAACTGTTCATAGATAATGTCCTCAAGAAATATGCACATTTACTTAAAAGTATAAAACTCCTTTTTCATGAATATTTCATTGTTGTCATCCCAGCGTAGGCTTCTAGTCAGTGCCCAGACTGGTCAGTTACCAGAGAATACGCCTTAATAACTTTGATGTTGACTCTGTCCTTCAAAACAGGCACAAAAGTAATAATTGTTCAAATCAATCCATTCCAATTCAGTACACAGTTTACTACGGGTCAGCTACATGCCAAACACAGATAAATGATGGCTTGCTCTTAGAATCTCCCAGAAGATAGAGATGTGAACAAATAGCCTTAAAACAGTGTGAAAATGGTATAAAGAGGGGGTGAAGGGAGGGCAGGGGTAAGGGGAAAAAATGAGAATCAAGACTTGTCATGTAGAGGTACAAGATCCCAACAATGAATGTAACTGTACTGTATCCCTAAAATGTACCAATAAACACAATTAAAGCTGAAAAAAAAAAAGAAATAAGCATAAAGTGGATGGAGACCACAGACAACTATCAACTAATTCTCAAGGGCATTATAGAGAAGGGAAACTGCAGAATAAATTCATGGAAGCATGAAAGAGGGTGTTGTGCATAATTCAGAATAAGTTTAAGCATAGTAATTCCTATACAATTTACCATTTAATCTCACATCTGTTACTTTATTTGAGCTTCACAACAACCCTACTGGGTTGTTTTGTCTTTATATTTACAGGTGACTCACAGAATCAAAAGGACAGCCCACTTGTCAAAAAAGACTGGGACTCAAGTCTGTGTCTCAAGACCCCATGTCCACTGGCCTTTGTAACATCAAACCACCACACAGGTGAAACAGATATTTACAAATTGGAAAACAATAAAGCAGAACAACTCCTTCAACATGGGTAATTATTTAGCAAGTACTAAACAAAGGACTTTATTTATAGGATCTCATTTTCTCCTCACAAGGGCATCTTGAGTTGTATAATACCGTGACACTCATTTTGCAACCAAGGAAACCAAGTCTGGGTGGCAAGGTAAACTAATGAAGGTCACCCAGTCCTAATTTGAGAAGCAGGGCTACAGGTCCATGCTTGTCAGCCTACAGAATTGCTCTGATCCACTATGAGTCTGTCCTTCTCTTCACTTTCTTGCTAATGCAATATAAATTGAGTAATTTTGACTCTGTGCAGGTCACTGGAATATGAAGATGAATTAAGGGTCATCTCGCCCTTGAAAAAATATTTCACAAAGAATGTGATGGTTGAGGGAGTCTTAAAGGATGAGTTGAAACTTGGCACATGAATCACTAGAGAAGACGAGTTCCAAGCAGAGGAAAGAACTACCAAATGTGTGGAGATGTGAAAAAGTGTGTTCAGAGAATTATTAGACAGGGTGGCCAGAGCAGAAGCAATGTAAGGAAGGAACTGAGAGAGCTGTACAGGGTATTCAATCAATATGTAATTATCAGGAGCCACTGGCGTGATCCGAATTGTGTTAAATCCCAAGGAACATAGAATCATGTGTGTTCTCCACCACCAGGGAAGTTACGCTATCCACACTGGGATCTATGGAGAAATCAAATGCTAAGAATTTTGTTCTACGGATTAGACTATAGACTTGATTTCTTATTTATTTCATTTTCTTTAGAACTTAGAAGATAAATTAAACTTCTTTACAAAACTGAATCAAAACACATATTTTTAAAAGTTATATTTGAATTGTAGGAAAGGAAGATGTATTTTCCTTCTCTGTCCTTTGAAATGTGTACTATTAAAATATCACATATATCACAGCAACTAAAGAACTATGGTGGTAGATAAGTACTTATAAAGATATGCAGGAAGGTGATTGCATTAATTTAATGACTGCATTTAGAATTTATTTTATCCAGTCAAAAAATACTCTTCAAAGCAAAGTGCAAAAGAGAGGAGAAAAGCTCAAAATACAGACCAAGAAAGGATCAATGTGTCCCTGATAATAAACATTTTAAAAGACTATGTAAATTAGGATAGAGGGCTCTGGGCCAGTCAGCACGGCACAATCAAAAGAAAGTCAAGTGATTGGGTATCTTATCCTAGTTCACAGCAAAACAGTTTAAATGCCTGGATATCTGCTCCTGAAACTGAAAAATAGATTTTAATGATGCTTTATGAATCAACAAGTTGTATATTAATATAGAATATTATAGTAATTTTTTCACTAGTATGAATGAGGTATTTGGAAAAAAAGACCTCTGGGCCTTCTTTCAATTCATATATTGTGTTTCCTACTCTGGAACAGAAAAGAAAAGCTCCTTAAAAATTATAAACCAGTAGCAAGCCCACTGCATGTTCCACCCTCTCCGACTTGGGCCCTCATATCCAGGGTGTAAGTTAATGGCCTGACCAAAAATGACTGGTAACAGAGGAAAGAGGGGATTTAAGTCTAACTCCTGTTCAGCTTCCCCAGCCAGGAACTTTGGTTAGCCTAGAAAAGGAGACACTTTTGTGAGATTTACCCAAGGCTTCTGTGGCCCTCTCCAATCTAAATGTCCATAAACCGAACCTTGCGCATCCATGAGCAGATGTGTTCATGAAGTTTCATGCTCTTTGGGTGAACCCAATTATAGGTCCATAGTAGATTAAATAGTGCCCCCCCAGAATTCTTGCCTTTCCAGAACCTCAGAAAGGGACTTAGTTTTAAAATAGTCTTTACTATAATAAAGGCAAAGATCAAGCAAGAACGTATTGACTTAGAATGGGCCCTAAATCCAGTGACTGATAACCTTATACCAGAGGGGAAGAAAAACAAAGAGACACCTAAAGAAGTGGGTGATGTGAAGATAAGGTAGAGACTGGAGTGATGTGTTCGCAAACAGAGGGAACGAAAGACAGGTGCCAGCCACTGGAAGCCGAGAGAGGGGGAAGCGATTGTCCCTCAGAGACTATGGAAGGAACTAACTCTGCCAGTGCCCTGATTTTGGACTTCTTGCTTCCTGATCTGTGAGGGAATAAATTTCTATTGTTTTATGCCACCCTGTGTGTGACAGTGCATGGCTTCCCTAGGAAACTAACACAAAGGGCATATTTATAGTGGTCTTTAAGAATACCAGGCCTGGATGAGACACCAGTTGTTTAAGTGATCTGAAACTCAGTGTTCTTATCTGTAACATTGTAATAGCAGTAGCTACCTCACAGCACTTCACAATTTAAAAAACCCACATGAGTACAGTGCTTGGCACCAAGACTGACCTATATACTAAGACTAGAAAACAGAAATTAGCTATGATGACACTGACGATGCCGATATTGATAATGCTGCTGCCATAGCTAATGATAGTGATGATAAGGAAGATATACAGAGCTCTGAAAACACACATATTATATATATATTATATATATTATTTATTATATTAACACAGTGTTGAAATATACAGACCCAATATATGTGTTGGGTCTGTGTACTTAGGTTGAACCTGCACATAAGCATAAAATGAGGAAATAAGAAAACTCCGCCCTCTTGTTGTATAGACTTGCATGTTTATAAAACACTCCTGTGCTTATTATTTCCTAGTCCCACTTGTAGGATAGGACATAGGAAGAGGTCAGGGCAATCCAATCTTCATTAGACACTGCATGAATTGCAAAATAAATCTTAAAGAATTAAGACTGGAAATTCACATTCTGTCTGTTGTAGTGCCTGGCATTAACTGCTTTGACAAACATCTCTCTAATACCTCCCTCATATTCTTTCTCATCCCACCTCATTATAAATTGTTTGGAGAAGAAGAAAATTTGTTTCATCATGAGATATTGGGACTGTTGGACCTAAAGTTCTTCCCAAAGGGCAACCTAAACTTTTAAAACCAGCAGAAGCAATGAACAGAGACCAAACTGTTCAGATTAAAGATGATGAGATAAATTTACCACACTGATTCAAAAACATATGTATACGATGAGCTACAACCCAAGAAGTCCTTCTGAAGTTATCAGTGAACTTGGTGGTCAGTATTCTGAAATTTCCACCATGTCTGCTCCAGGGAAGAGCTGAATGTTCCCAGCTAACACTGCTTAACTTCAAAAATCCTTCATGAAGAAAGGCCGTCTTCATAATGACATAGGAGAGAGTCTGCTTGGGTGGAGCCTATTAAGTTATGGCAATAAAAATCATTGTGCCCTAAACGGTTTGATTAAGTGATCAACAAAAGAAAGACAGAAAATGGCTGGGTTTTGTTTTTGTTTTTGTTTAACTTCAACCTAACTAGGAACTGAAGAAATTCAAAGGAAAACAACCGCTATTTGTCTTGTTTAAATAGCTTGTTTATTACATGGCAACAATTATAATGCCAGGAATGGCAAAAGACTGGGAAAGAGCATTCTGCTCATGTTTGTAGCAGGGGTGTGAGTAAGCCAGCAAAACCTTTCCAGAGGGCTATTTGGCAATTTACAGGAAGAACTTT